TTGAAGATTAGTGTGGAACACTGCACTGAAGGCTCGCTCTTGTCAGCATTCATTATTCCCATAGTATATCCTTGACCTCACGGGACTCCGGTCACCTGACTTGTAGCAGAAAGTCGTGATGACCAGTTGTCCAGAGGTGCACGCTGGTCATGTCTGATTTATCGCGTCCGACTAATGTCCCTTGAACTCTGTTGTGTCAGTCAATGGACGTTGGTTACTAGGTTTATGTTAGGTCTGTTAGGCCTCCCTTACCTCTCAAGGTGTTTCTGGTTCATTTGGACCGGAGCACAACAGCAAGGTACACTAAGAATGAAGCGGAAACGTCTTGCTGCTGGGGCATGTTTACCTGATCCGCGAAACCCTAGCCGAATGGTGAAGTCAACTTGGCAAGACCGTTCTAGCATTCATTCAGTATGAATTGAATTTTCGATATATGAAGTGGCGGACGTGCGTTCCGAATGACAGAGATTGATCGCATGAAATAGTTCCCTCGTGGTACTGAATGCGAAAAACTGCTCTCTTAGTTTCTCGACCGAAGAAATTCACAAATTTAGTGCAGTTCTTTTAAAAGAGAGAAATCACCGGGTTCAGGGGACAATGACGATTCAGCTCCTTGTTTTAAATCCGCGCCTGAAATAACGGTTGTGACAAGCACGTGAAATCGGTGACAAACTCTGAATTCGGCTTATGTGGCGCGCCCTACTTATCTGTCTCTCTCTACATCTCGCTTGCTTCCGTTACTCCAGATGAGGAGCGTCAAAGTTCATCAGGAGTTATGAACTGAAACAACAAACAGTAGAAAGTGATACTGTCTCGTCGATCAGACTTCGATGACCGTCATAAGCGAGAAGTTCAGCTGGATTCAATTGAGTCCCCTGTCCAAACCAAATTCGTGTGCAAATGAGAGTAGTTGTCGGAATCTGTCCAACTGGTGTCCAAGAATAACTTAGGGCTTCCGCCTACATGCTGAGCTTCAAGAAGGGCGTAACCGTTCGTTCAAAAAGTTTTCAGCAACCTTATGAGTAGTGTGTTGCGTATAGGCAAAGGTTTTCAAATTTCACTACGCGGACGACTGAAACAGTAAAACAGGGAAACAGGTAGTCTGATGAAGTAGTCTTTTTTGTTTTGCTAAGAAAGGGGAAGGAGTTCTTGCATAACGGCGCAAAGTAATTTCGAGAAATACACTCATTTTCAAATCAATTTGGTTTCCACCAGACACTCAACTGAACCTCTCGTTTATGATATTCTACAACTGAATGTGCTGCACACAGGCCGCCTCATAATTCAGTTGGCACGATATTCGAGATATCGCAGTATATTTTCATGAAGGAAACTACTCACAAGGTTGCTGAAAACTCTTCGACAGCCCTTCTTGGGGCTCATCAGGTTCAAGTAGAACATAAGGTTGACGGAAACTCGGGAACTGCACCTACCTGATGAGCCCCAAGAATGGCGAAACCGGTCGTGGGCTGTCGAAGAG